CTGGTTTCCAGGTCAGCAATATATTTCACAAATTGTTCGATTCTTTTCGATCTTGATTTTCCTAAAACCAATTAAAGGAACATTAACAAGACCATACTTATCAGTATGAACATGTTAGTGTTCCTAGCTATACTTATACAGGGGAGTCCAAAAGAAGAAAAAGTTCATACATTAAGTGAAAACGAAATGTAGCAAAGGTCAAGATCAAAGGAAAAACCAAATTAATTGCATCATTACCTTCGTTCTGTCCAAAAGATAGTTGGTTCACTCCAAACAACAAATTCCAAATCGCTTTAGGTGATGAATATTGCATAACCTGTGCAGGCATGGAAGTTGAATACATACATTAAAGAAACCAGAAACCAAAAAGGCCGAAAGAAAGACAACTGAAAAAAATAATAGTAATAATAATAAAAAATAAAAAAATGGAGGGCATTATCTTTGCATAAATCCTTTGAAGAAAATTAAACTGAAGTAAATCTTAAATAATAATTGTTATAAAGCTCATCATTTCTCGAGCAAGTTTTACCTTCCAGTTTGAGATGGCAAAGAAAAGACAAGACAACGCAATCCCCAAACTTCCATATCTCAATATATCTCGCCGAGAACCCTGTAACCTGTCCATAAATTATTTCTGCAGCCTCAAGCTAAGGTTTTCCAATAACATTATTTTAAGTAATTACAAACTGGAGCAGCATGGGAAATGGTTTTACTGTAAGAAATGAAAGCACTACCCATTGTTAAGAGACCCTTGTATATGAAGACATTTTGAAAGCATATAAAGTTTATAACCAAATTTCCAGGTAGGCCTCCAACATGGACCAGAAAATTAAAAAAAGAAATAATGATTATTTTTTTCCATGTAAAAAAAAATAAGGATCAGTTAATGTTCATGTGTAATGTTGCAGCTATAGATGCCAACTCACCCTCCAGTTAAGGAAACCCCATTATTAGAACTTGTATCCTGGATTGGTCCATTATCCGTCTTTTCTTTGAGCACGCCTGAAGAATTTTGGGATAAATTACGAAGAACTTGGCTGCCCTGCAGAGCCCCATCTGCAATGGCATGTCTTTATAAGACTTCATGTTAGAAAATGTATAATGTTACTTATTACCCCGTAAAAATTTTCCTGAAGAATAATATTTTAAATATTAGGTGTAAGCCCCAGCCATCTTAGGAACTACGATTCAAAAGTTAACTATACTGAGTGGAGCCAAAGAGTTCACTCAGCAATAGTAGAGGACAAAATTTTCCGATACATGGAATACCCATCACAAGAAATTATATCTTACTTATAGACTATAGTCCTTAAAATATGGCACAAGCGTAGCTTCACCAACATTATTGGTACAAAATGACATTTGCAGCATATTCTCAGGACTACATACTATAGTCATCTGAGCCACCACTGAGAATATCGTCAAGTGAAATATTTCCTATCTCATTTCGAATAAGTGATGGATCAGCAGTCTTTAGAGTATCCTCTGACAAGGTAGTTTTGACAGCTATGCATCTGCAAGAAGCAGAAAACAGATTAGCAATTTACCTCTAAGCAATAAAGAACTTAAGTCAATAAGTTAAACCAAAGAGATTAATGCAAGCAAAACAGAGAATAAAAGGTCAAGTATGACTACTCATGTTCTAGCAAAATGAGAAAAGAAGACAATCCACGTGAAACGATTCCAGGTTTTGCGTGGAGACATAAATCATAGATTAATAAATTTACCTCATTCCTGCAGCTTTGGCAGCTTGAACACCAGCAAGTGCATCTTCAATAACAATACACTATACAAAAATACGTCTTAATCATTGTTCAGTATATAGGTAGAAATGCATTTTTATTTTGTTAAATAATCTTTATAATATGCAACGGCACTGAAATTTAAAGTGAAAATGGAACACAAAAATATTTGGGAAAAATAAAAGGAATGAATCTGTAGAAATTCTAAATTCGATTGAACTTCCTCACCAACAGTAAACCCTTTGATGGTCGAGGGAGCTTATTTTGAAAGTAAAGCAGATACGAGTATATAAACAATACGTCCGTCATGAAAGCTGACATAGAACCTTTTGTGGAGATTTTTTTTTTTTTTTTTTTTGATAAGAAACAAAACTTCATTAATAAATCAAGAACTTTACAAATGAAGTTTTTGGACGGATGAGGAACCCATCCAGGGGAAATAAAAAGCAAATACAAGAACAAAACAACAACAACAACAAATACAAGCCTTAATCCCAAAGTAATTAGGGTCGGCTATATGGATTTCTCATTTCCAGTCTGTTCTATTAAACACGAGACCCTCCTGAAGCCCTAGATCTTGAAAGTCGTGCCTAACTACGTCGGCCCAAGTAATTCTTGGTCTACCCCTCGCTCTCCTAGTACTAGGTATTTGGATGTTCTCCCAAGCACGAACAGGTGCATCTAACGATCTACGTTGTACATGCCCGTACCACCTCAGACAGTTTTCCCGCACCTTATCTTCTATTGGTACTACACCTACTTTACTACAAATAACTTCATTCCGTAAACGATCCATCCTCGTATGGCCACTCATCCATCTTAACATACGCATCTCCGCCACACTCATATTGTATATTTGATGTCTCTTGATGGCCGAACATTCACTACCATATAACATAGCTAGGCGAATTGTTGTCCTATAGAATTTTCCTTTCAACTTAATAGGCATCTTATCATCACATAAAACTCCCGTGGCATTCTTTCACTTAACCCACCCCGCCTTAATCCTATGTCCAATATCCTCATCTATATCCCCTTCACATTGCACTATGGACCCAAGGTACCTAATTTCCTAGAAGCCCCAATCACTACACCATCCAAAGAAATTTCATAACTCTGATCTCTCAAATTACTAAGCCTACAATGCATGTACTCAGTCTTTGTTCTACTTAACTTAAATCCATTTGTCTCAAGGGTCTGTCTCCATAGTTCTAACTTACGTTTAATGCCCTCCCGATGTTCATCAACTAAAACTATGTCGTCTGCAAAAAGCATACACTAGGGAATCCCACCTTGAATTTCTCTTGTCAGCTCGTCTATCACGATAGTTAAAAGATAAGGACTAAGAGCGGAACCTTGATGAAGGCCAATCCGAATGGGAAACTCTTCCGTGTAGCCTCCAGTAGTTCTCACAATTGCGACAACTCCATCGTATATATCCTTTATTACCTTGATATACCTCATATGCACTCCTCTCTTCTCTAGTACCCACCATAACACTTCTCTCAGTACCCTATCATATGCCTTTTCTAAATCTATGAAGACCATATGCAAATCTTTCTTAGCTATTCTATACCTTTCAATCAGCATTCTAAGAAGAAAAACAGCCTCCACGGTTGATCTATTGGGCATGAACCCAAATTGGTTACTTGAGATGGTAGTTGTGGCCCTTAATCTCTTTTCAATAACTCTCTCCCAAAGCTTGATAGTGTGACCTATCAGCTTTATGCCCCTATAGTTGTTACAATTTAGCGCATCTCCTTTATTCTTGAAGATGGAAATGAGAATACTTTTTCTACAAGCATCGGGCATATGGTTCTTCTTTAGTATCTCGTTAAAAAGCTTAGTAAGCCACTAAATTCCAACCAAAAACTTAAAATGAGGAAAAAAACAGCCAAAAAACTCAACACAAATATTGATTAAACACCTCCCAAGCAGAGCCACAACCAATAACCTTACACCAACCTACACTAGAATATCCTCCCAACTTAACATTATTAGGGACAAAGAAAAATCTTTGAATGAGGAATCTGTTGACGCCCACAGAGGAGCCAGAAACTTAGCCTTCTCAAATAAATCCTCAAAGCTCATCTCCTTTTCCTCAAAAATCCTCTGGTTTCTTTCTAACCAAATCACCCATAGGTCTCCATATTGTCTTGGCCTTCTTGTGTTGCCCAAAACAAAATAGGTCCTCCACCAGATTGTATTACTCTGAAAAAGAAACATTCAAGAAAGAGAGGCAGCCCCAAACATTTACACCATAATCCTTGAGCTACTACACAATGGAGAAACAAGTGATCCACCGATTCAAAATTGTTCTTGCACATCTGTCAAGAAGAAAGGAGAAGGACGATCTAGGGATTGGGAATTTGATGAAGAAGAATTTGGCTTTGTTAGGGAAATGGCTTTGGAGATTACCTTTGGAACAAAATTGTCTGTGAGCTAAAGTTAGCAGGAGTAAATATGGGCTGAAACCAAATGGTTGGGATTCGAACCTAGTGACTAGGAGTTCTTTTAGGAATTCATGGAAATTCATCTCTCAAGGATTGGCTTCTTTCCTTCAAAACACAAAATTGAGAGTTGGGGATGGGTCTAAAATTTTGTTTTGGAAAGACAAGTGGTGTGATAACGAGTCTTTAGAAATTTTGTTCCCTCGTCTATTTAGAATTTCAGCATAGGATCCGAATAGGAATCTTAGTTTTAGAAGAGGTCTTAATGATAGGGAAGCAGAGGATTTGTATTCTCTACTTCAATTAATCAATTCTTCCCCTTTTCAGCCTTCTAGTCATGATCAAAGAATTTGGTTGTGTGATCCTAAGGGCTTTTCATATCATTCTTTTTTCTCTTCTTTAGTGGATTGTCCTGAAAATTTGAATTTCGATTCTTTTCAATTCATATGGAGATCTTGCGTCCCCCATAGAATTAAAGTCTTCGCTTGGTTGGTTGCACTTGGGAAATTGAATACTTGTGATTTGCAGCAAAAGAGAAACCCTCGTGGGGCTCTATCCCCTTTGTGGAAATTTTGAGAGGAAAATTGAAGGAATTGTATATTACATGACAATTACAACTGTTTTATATACAGGAGCCCTAGCCTATAGAAACGGCAATCACATCCCATAATATGTGGGATATCACACTAAAAAAGGAAACTAACCAAATCAACCTAATTTTAGGGAAACTAACTATTATATTCAAACTTTCCTAATTTAGTCTATACATGTGTAAAACACATTCTTCCACACTCCCCCTCAAGCTGGTGAATAGGTATTCACCATTCCCAGCTTGGATACAAAACTCTCAAGCACTAAACTACTTAACCCCTTGGTGAGTATATCAGCAAGTTGGCCATGTGTAGATACATAAGGTGTACAAATCAGTCCACTATCCAACTTTTCTTTGATGAAGTGTCTGTCAATCTCGATGTGCTTCGTTCGATCATGCTGCACTGGGTTGTGAGCTATGCTGATTGTAGATTTGTTATCACAATAAAGTTTCATAGGACCATCCCACGTAATCTTCAGATCCTCTAGAACAATCTTCAACCATAGTAGTTCACACACACCCTGAGCCATTGCTCGGTACTCTGCCTCAGCACTAGACCGTGCTACCACATTCTGTTTCTTACTCCTCCATGTCACCAGGTTTCCACCAAGGAAGGTGCAATAACCTGAAGTTGATCTTCTGTCAACAACTGACCCAGCATAGTCAGCATCTGTGTATGCCTCAAGAACTAACCCTCCATTCCTCTTGAAAAGGATGCCTCTACCTGGTGTCCTTTTGAGATATTGCAAAACTCTGTATACCACCTGCAGATGAACTTCTTTTAGATTGTGCATGAACTGACTGATCACACTCACCGCATACGCTATATCTGGCCGAGTGTGAGAAAGATAAATGAGTCTCCCTACCAACCGTTGATACATCTCTCTATCCACCATAGCATCTTCTTCTGCCTCTCCAAGCTTGAGATTCGGTTCTATTGGAGTACTCACTGGTTTGCATGCTGTCTT